TGTAGAATTACAAAATCTCTTTAACTTCTCCTTTCTTCTGAGGTCACCACAACAGATAAACTGTATTTTATGATTAGGACATGACTTTCACATATGTAGGCCCACTTCATGCTGTCTTTCCCAATAACCCTAGCGTGTGAACTGCACAGAACTTGTGTTATGCACGACTAACAGAAATGCACACTGGACACCAAGAAAGAATTGAACAACAAAAGAGGCAGAAACTGCATCTTCACATAATTTAAATAATATAGATAAAATATGTTAACAACGGTAGCAGAATTTGTTGTCGTCTAAAATCCAGGTGCTAGTTCTTCATTTTCAGAATAATTCAGCTCCATTTCAGGAAAAAACAAAAAAACATTTTGGGGTTTGATGGAACTTCCTCTCAGCCCAGATTTGACCCCTGGGACATGTTTTTTACATGAGTGGGCTAAGTCAACAATGACAGGATTCATGTGGCTCGATTTGTGACAGGTTGTTGTTTCAGTAAGCTAGAGTTGGCATTTTCACACATGGCTAAGCAACCACCAAGTCCAGACCTCAGGCCTGTTGAGAACACAAGAACTTGGTGTGAGTTCTTTTGTATTCCACTATTGGGGACTGTAGACAGAAATAAATACTTCATTCTTTGTGGCTACAGGAACACTGCCACAATGCCTTGGTGTCATAAGCTATGCTTAAAATAGTCCGATACAATCTGTTGTTTCAGTAAGCTCTGCGTTGACCAAGAAAATGTAATGTATCCCTGGATTATACTACCAAAACTATGGGTTCAATTCCACAGTTTCTTCTGCTTCCACTGGATGATATGACCCCAGGAAGCCAATGATGGCAGGCAACTGAAAAAGCTTGAAAGGATCAATAAGATCAGGCCAGCTGTGTAACTGACAGCTTGTCTCGTCTTCTTCCACCGATCAGTGTCCAGGTCACAGGAGGCAGCAGCCGTAGCAAGAGTGCTCAGGCGTGTCCTTGCCTAGCTAGCTAAGGGCAGGATTGTCAAGTACAACCCTACCATGTGCACTACTGTTAATATTTACCAGTAACAGAAATGTGGAGACATTTACTGTTGAATTGATTAACATTTACTGTTGCCAAGCACTTATTGAATTATACTGCTGTCAATCCTCCGCACTGATTAATCCTAAATGTTTCTCACTTTATTTTTTTATGTATTTATTATTATCTCTACATATCATTGTTATTTATAAAAATGACTTCATATTCTATACAAGAGACATATTTACCTGCTGCATATACTTAGGGAGTTTGCCTTCTCTTGCATAAACATACATACAAGGTTATTTTAGAAACCAGCCAAGCACTTTTAGTGTTTTCTCCAGGCATCAGCCTGCAATAGGCTCTACATTAGTATGATTTGCCCAGTTCTTATATACAGTTTTTGTTTTTTTTTTCTTCAAGTAGATGAAATATTTCTCTGTTCAGGTGCCTCTGTTCTAGTTAAATCTAAATGAGAAATGAGGAAATGTAATAATAACTCTGGGTGTTCGTCCTCAGCCACACACAACAACTACTGTATACATCAAAGTAGGTTTTCTCCAGTTCTAATGTGAAGTCTGTGGTTTTGCTCCAGGTTGGTGAAATCTTTCCCCATTCAGATTCCAGTTTGAAATCCACAACAAATAAGACCAATGGGCTTTTTACTAGAAATAGAATATATAGATATAGAATTTAGGATATAGAATTTAAGCAACATCACACCTACAGTCGCAGTATTCATTGGCATGATTGAAAAAAACACACCTACAGTCGCAGTATTCGTTGGCTTGATTGAAAAAAAAACAACAACATTACTTTCTTAATTTCACTCTGCTCAGTGGGAAGGACAATAATATAGCCTTGCAGGAAGTAACAGGGCCATGGAAAGCGCAGACAGACGCACAGAGGTGAAAGTCTCAAAACACTTGAATACTTTCGAGCAGCAAAGGCAGCCACTCACTTGCTAACTCATGGTTAAGTCACAGTCCTGGGAAACTGCACGGAGTCTGTGTTGGAGAAGTCAACATGCACACTTCGGTACGGGCTCAGAAAAAAAATAAAGTTACTTCAGCTTTAATGCATTCACTTAGCGCCCCTTATATTAATCCTCCAGGCAGCCGCGTCATGTTTAGCGCACTTTGTGTAAGAGTTTGCGTATAAATGGGATATAAAGTGCACTTACGTAACGTCTCAACTTTTTTTCAGGAGGAGACTTTCTGAGCCACCCTGAGCACACCACATCTCCCCCACTCATAGCTGCTCCTTTCTGCCTCTCCCTGGAGGACTGCTCTTTAGCCTCGCTTGTTTTTGTGGATCTTGCCCTTTGTCTGGAAAAGGAAATACAAATTTGAAGCTGAAAGTGTTGAAATAAATTAAAAAAGGCAAGCATCAAATGCCAGACGAGCGCGACAAATACCACCACTGCTTCGAAAGTCGACTCACCGACAAGGCAGTTGTCTGAAATGCACCGACCAGATTTCACCCGAGTTGTAGTCAAACAAACGGGTATATTCCGAGCTTGGAGTTCAACCAAACCTGCGGCGACGCCTCTTGAAGAAATATCAGTTGTGACTTGTGTAATTTGCTCAAACTGGAACACGGAGTGGGCTAAAACAAAATAAGACGACAGCACAACTGAAAGTTTTTGTTGTTATACGTAACGAATCATGCTAATTCCCGTCAAAGTGGAGCGATTCCCAAGTGACGAGATAAGGTTTAAGTGTCCCAGAGTACTCCAGCGCATACTTGCCGTTCCTGGGCAAAATAAAAAACAACAAGCGTCACCACAAACACGGCGGGTCCACTGAGCTTCCCTACCAGATTACTCCCATGGTTCCTTAATTGTGATTGACAGGGAGGTTCACAGTCTTTCCCT